GGGGGAGCCGAGCAAGGGGTAATGCAAACCCTCTCTATTAATTTTGCAACTTCACTAATCATTAGAGAAAGGCAAACCACATTAAAATGGGATGTCACTTTACACCCATTAGATGGCTGCTATTAAAAAAAGTGTTGGCCCTGGCCAGTTTGGCTCAGCGGTTAGAGCGTTGGCCTGCGGTCCAGAGAGACCCGGGTTCGGTTCCCGCTAAGGGCACGTTCCTCGGTTGCAGTTTGTCCCCGGCCCTGGTTGGGTCGTGCAGGTGGCAACCACTTGATGTGTCCCTTCCACGTTGATGTTTCTCTCTCTCTCTCTCCCCCTCCCACTCTATCTGAACAAACAAATGGAAAAATGTCCTTAGGTGAGGATAAAAAAAAAAGTGTTGGGAAGATATGGAGAAAGGGAAATCATTGTGCATTGTTGATAGGATGTAAAATGGTGCAACCACTATGGAAAATAGTATGGCAGTTCCTCAAAAAGTTAAAAAAAAAAAAAAGATTACCATGTGATCCAGCAATCCCACTTCTGGGTATATATCCAAAAGAACTGAAAGCAGAATCTTGAAAATACATTTGCACACCCATGTTCATTGCAGCATTATTCACAATGGCCGGAAGGTAGAAGCAACTGAATGTCCACCGATGAATGAATGGATAAGCAAAGTGTGGTGCATTTATACAATGGAATATTATTTAGCCTTAAAAAAAAAGAAGCATTCTGCCACATGCTACACCGTGGGGTAAATCTTAAGGACACTATGTGAAGTAAAATATAATAGTAACAACAACAAAAATATATACGGTACTATTTGACTGATGTGAGGTTTCTAAAGCAGTCAAATTGATAGAAACAGAAAGTCAAATGGTGGTTGCCAGGGCCTGTGAGGAGCGGGAAATGGGGAGCAATTGTTTCATGGGTATAGAGGTGAAGATTTGCAAGGTGGAAAAGTTCTGGAGATCCATTACACAATAGAGTTGATATACTGAACACTACTGAGCTGTACATTTAAACATGGTAAATATGATCAATTATATATATATATATTTTAAAACTGTGGTCTCTCTCTCTCTCTCTCTCTCTATATATATATATATATATATATATACCACAGTTTTAAAAACTTACTGAGTTTTAAAAAATGGGATGAGGCCATATAGAAGTAAATTTTACAGCTTCCAAATAAAAGGTGATGGTACTCTAACAGAGTGAACAATGCATCCCGGACACACCATGTACCTGGTGGAATAGGGGCAATGGAATCACAGTGACTACTCTCGTGGGGAGACAGTGAGCAAGGGCTGGTTATAGTTCTGAAACACTGCTGGGTAGACACTGGGAATCCCGTTCCTGGAGCAGGGACTCTACACCTACCTTCAGCCCGCTCCTCCTCGTCCATTTCTTCTCCTCGGTCACTCTGGAAGTGGACCTTGCTGGACCGGTCCTTCTTTGGTGGCTGTCATTGTTTGTCTCTGGCTCATGGAAGATTCAAAAGTTGTTCCTTTTCTCAGTCTTGGCTTTCGAGTCTCTTGACAACATAATTCCTGTAACAAACGGCCACTAGGACTTTTCTGAAATACTGCAGGTCCTCCCTACGTGCAGTCCTTGCCTTGAGCCGAGCCTCTCTTTGAGGCCGAGGCTCCCGAGCCTGAATAGGAACACCATACTCCCACCTGCTCTCTTCCCGAGGCCACCCTGCCCAGCGGAAGTCTTTATGGGTATTGTTCAAAACCTTTGAAATATCCCATTGCGCTGCTTGGGATGCTGAAACAGTTGGCTTTTTTAAATTTTTTTTAACTTTACAAGGTCTTAAATTTCTGGCCTTCCTAGTCCCTTACACTCCTGCTTGTAAATTGACCAAATCTAGGTCAAAGACACTAAGAAAGCCCAAGCCAGAGGCTGCAGAACTTCCTGGCAACTCCAGCATCCTGAACGTGAGAGAAGTGAGGAGCACAGGGCCCCACCCTCACCTGCGCACCTGGATCTCCGGGGGAACTCATAGCATGGACCAGTGGGAACAGGAGCCTTCCTCCATTTCAACATCCTAAATCAGAATCCTTGGGGATGTCCTGTCATTTCAGAAGGAAGTCAGATAACTTTAATGCCTGGAAAACCTAGGAACTACTTGATGTGCAAAGCATGTCCATAACCTATGGGCCCACCGATGAGAGGTGATTTGTACAAGGTTACTTCAGAATTTATGCACCAAACCAGATCCTGATCTGAGGCCAGGGCACAGTGCCCAGCTACCCGGTGTAAACTTCTGCCTGGTTCCTAGCTGTGGCAGTCTGAGTAATGCCCCTTCCTAATCCGAGGAGGCCCACATCCTAATCCAGCCCTGGAAACTGTGATCTGTTACCTGATGTAGCCGAAGGAACCTTGCAGACGTAATTAGTGAAAGGATCTTGAGTTGGTGAGATTATTCTGGATTATCCAGACAGGCCCAACATAATCACAAATCTTATAAGATGGAGGCAGGACAGTAAGAGTCAGAGACAAGATGCGATGCCAGAGCAGAGGAGACGAGGGAGAGAGAAAGGGACAGTGAGAATGAACTTGAAGAAGCTTTGACGATGGAGGAAGGATGCCACGGGCTAAGGACTGCAAGCAAGAAAATGAATTCTGCCTGAGAGTCTCCAGAAAGGCTCCAGACCTCCAAACTGAAGATCATATATGTGTGTTGTTTTAAGCCATTAGCTTTATAATAATTTGTTACAGTTGCAATAAGAAACCAGTGCAGATTCTTTGTAACTGTAATTACAGTGCGGCTGTAAGAAATAGTAAAAACTGCAGAGCGGCTTTGGAAATGGACAAAGGCCAGAGGCAGAAAGAATATGATAGAAAAAGCCCAGATTTCCCGGAATAGACCTTTGGCAGCAACAGGAAAGAAATACTTGGTATTACCTCCTAAAACAGGGCCCATTGCCAACGCTTTCTGCTCACATTTCATTATGCAAGCAGTGAGGAATCCCATGCTTAGCTACGTTCAAGATTTCCTGAAAATAAATAGATGTGACTTGAAAGGGGAATATGAGTAGATTAGTTGGGGATTTGAGCACATAGATCAGCCCTCGCTTGGCCTCCCCTCTTTCCAGACCCCACGCCTCAATCTGCCTGGCATTAGAGGGCCTGCTGCTCAGTAAACTGTATGGTGACGTCCCATCGGTTTGCACTCCCCTGCCTCTGGCCTCTTGGCATCCACTGCAATTAGAGACCGACTCCTGGCTGGCGATTGAGGCTGTGGCCTGCAGGAGAGGGAGACAGGCAGGGAGGGCTGTTGGAGAGGGCATGAGGGTCAGTGAGGTCCACACACAGCTGCCAAGAAATTCTCCGCTGACTGGTACAGCCGGGCACTTTGGAAAGTGCTGCGTGAAGCTTTGATGAAACCCCTCAGAGGAAGCCGAATCTCCCCTCTTCCTCTCCGGCTCCAGCTGGTAGAAAGTGAAGTTTTCCAAGAGACAGGCTCTCGGATCTGAATATATAGGTCCCACTGGGCTCCTATTTATACCACACGACCTCCCTATTCTACTTACGGAGACTTGGAATACCCAATCTGCTCTACGTAACAGTGAGCCAGTGCCCATTCTGCAATTAGGACCCAGGTGTCCTTCTTGCCAGCCAGGGTTCTCCCCAGACCTCGTGCCGCTGCCAAAGGCACAGCCTGGTCCAGCCTGACCCCGCAGCCATCTCCCCATCGGATGGGGAAGGTCAGTATCATGTAGAATTTATTCCATTGGGCAAGATATCTGCTTTTCTTAGAGCAGGGACTGTCTGTGCCTACATAGGTCAGACACCTCACAGGTAGGTCAAGTGCCACGCAAGGGAATAGAGACTTTAGGTTGATGCTCAAGATGAAGAGGACCATCCATGTAAATGAACGATTCCGGCCACCTGGGATTGGGATGGGGGAGAAGTGATGGGAAGCCGCACATTCTGGTTTCAGAAAAGCTGATCCCTTAAAATGCGGGTTGAAGAAGGGGCTTTTGTATCTTAGGTCACGGGTCCTTCTTCTCCAGCTACAACACTCAGCATTTCACCCTGTTTAACTCATTCTTTTCCTAGGCTGACTCTGGCTCCATCGTCACTCTGTCATCTCTTGCCTGGACCATGGCAATAGTCTCTGCCTTGTCCCTGTTTCCCCAGGTGTACATGAAGCCAATAAGTTACATTTCCTGAAACTCACGTCTGAGCCTCTGAACATGGCAAGTCCTGCACTGGACCACGTGTTTTCCACATCTCCTTTTAACCCACGAAGTGGAGCACTAAATTACCACCTTCACGTTCAAAATCCTTCGCTCATCCTGCCTTTCAAAACGGCCCCATCACTTGACACAGCATGGACCCTGATTGCCATCTGATGGGTTTTCTCCCTCTTTGATGTACATGCCATCATTTTTTCTACCTCTAGGTATGTGCTTATCCTCTTCTTTCTCTTTTTCTTGATAATCGTGTAGTTTTTAAAGAAAAAAAAAACACCTCATCACTCATCAAAGATACATTCAAGTCACACCTTCTTTATGAAATTCCAATCTGACCATCTTATCAATGGTCATGAAGTCTGCCCCTGATTTCCCAAGGTCTGCAGTGTCTGTGTTACTCCGAGGTGGATTAGTTGAAGGGGCAGGGATTGGGAGTAGTTGCAATCGATTATGGGAGAGATTGGGGGCTGGGCTCAGGGGTTGTGAGAAAGAAAGGGGGTGGGGCCCTTGCTACATGGGTGACAAGGGTAGTTGGGGCCTGGGCAGGTGATGTCAGGGACTGCAGTGGTGGGGGCAGAATGCCTGATTGGGTCTTGCCTTAAAGATTTTCAAATAGACACTCAGAGGAGCCCACCCAGAGGAAAAGATCCACAGTCACATTCTTTTAAAACCTGAGCCCAGTCCTCCGAAACCATACCCCTCCTTCATCACCAAGCAAATGCTCAGCATTTTAATTTCCTTCAAGAAAACACCAGAAGTCAGGTTTTGTACAAAAATATATATATACTGTTTAATCATCATACATGTATCTCCACAATCACATTTTTAGCAATACCTTAGCATTTAAAACAACAAGTGTTTGCACTAATAATTTTGTAAGGACCCTCATTCCATTTCAAGGATGGAATTGAAGTTCACAGAGGAAGGCAATTTGCCTACGTCTCCATGTCTAACATACACCAGTATTCATGGAAGATAAATTTAAAACAACAATAACTTAAATAAGATTAACATTACTTAAGCCATCAGGCTTCATATCAATAAACGAAGTTCATATTCTTTGAAAATACAATAAAATTATCAGAGGGCATTCAGGGAGAGTTAGAAGATAATAAATTAGGTTCGGATGTTTGGGTCGTGGAGTGAGTGCTCAAGGCTTCGGAGTTGGGGTTTTCTTGTCCAGGTGTTCCAAGGCAGCCTGAACCCATTTCTCCTTGGGTTCAGCGCAGATCTCCTTGTTCAGTTTGGTCCTGAAGCTGCGGGGAGAGAAGGCACCGTGAGATGGAGTCCCATGCAGATGTCAGCCTGGGGGTGCAGCTCCCCCTCTAAGAACCTGCCATGAGCACCACCCAAAGGAGGGAGGAGGGACCCAGGGCAAGCGGGTCCCCGTGGGAGCCATCCTGACCTCTGGCTAAGACATTGCGATGCTTTGAATAAGCGCCCAGATGGAGAGTGACGCTGGGGGTCGCGTTTCCCCTCACAGCCTCAGTTTCCCCCCTGGGCACCTCTGGGTATGGGATTGCATGGTGTAGCTCTGACTCTAGGATCTGAGGCTTCCATTTTTCTGGGGAAGAACTAGACCAGGGAGGCAACTCACATCACAGCTTCTTTGGGACACTTGCTGCTGGTCACTCTCTTGTAGCTCACCAACTTCGACATCGGGATCGTCTTAGTGGTGAATACGTAGCAGCAGGTGACTGGGCCAATGCCATCTAGAAATAGAACAACAAAGAAAAAAAGCCTTTTAGGGTGGTCTAAATTCTCCTGATCTTAATCGGAACAGAAAAAACTAGCTGGGAGAAGGCAAAGGGGAATCAGGAGTAGAGGTAGAACCCATTTAATTCCAACACTTCGGATTCTGCAGAGCGAGAAGGTCATGCTGACTCCGTTTCCTATGCTGTACAATGGGTATACAGCAGTGGTATCAGAGGGAACGGGGAGCGATTAAAACTACATAATCCCTGGGAGTATCATTAGGAGGAGCTAGTAATGCAAACGAGCATGGTCAGGGAAATTCAGAGACCCTAGCTGGGGGTCCCCCGTTAGGCTCCAAGTAATCTATGCCCGGTCGTGAGTGTCCTGACTCCCACCACCTCTGCACAGCCACGTCTCTGGAAGCTGGACTGAATGAACCACAGTCCAGACTCTGCATCTCCTCCTCTCCCCTTCACTGCATCTGCACACTCAGCCCAAAGACCCCTCTCTGTGACCGCCCCAGCCCCCAACCACTGCTGAGAGCAGCTGAGGTGGCCACTGCATGGAGGATGTGTTTCCAGAGCTGGGGTTCTGGAAGGAGCTGGATGTGGGGTGCACAGCTGGATTCCTCGCCTGGCTCTGCCCGGGAGCACCTGTGGGACCAGGCTCCCTCCTCACCCTTCCCTGAGTGTCCTGACCTTGGAACCCAGCTGTTTAAGCGAGGCCGGGGGTGCCCCTCCTGCTCCAGGGGGCGGCGCGGGCTTACCTGGCTGAGCCAGCACCGGGGTGCCGAAGTGGGCCACGGCGAGCAGCAGGCACAGCAGTGCTGCGGAGACCTTCATGCTGGAGGGTGAGGGTGCGGGTGCAGTGTGAGAGCTGTGGGCTTCGGAGCTGCTCTCAGCCTCTGTGCTGCTCTGCTGCTCCGGCTGCTCCGCCCGCCTTTTATAGTAAACGCTGTGGGTGGGGCAGTGCTGTGGGTGGGGCAGTGCTGTGGGTGGGGCAGCGCTTGGCCCAGGCAGCATCCTCCTCAATGAATGACGAAGTGGAATCTTGAATGTGCTGAGGCCAGGGCAGCGCCCTGGAGGATTTCCAGGAAGGAGGAGAGGGAAGCAGTGGGCCTGGATTGGGCACTCTGGGGAGGCGGGGGAGGGGGGAAGGGGCACAGCTATATCCAAAGTGACCACAGACAGGAACCAAGAGGGTTATTCTTAAGGATTCTGCTTTCTCTGAAGTGAAAACTCTGCAGAAAATAAGGGAAGCAGAGGTCGAGGGGGAAATGAAAGCATCTCAGAGCTTGCCCCTGGCCCACCTTCAGATAAAGTCAGGGCCTTCAGCCCGGGAGGGGCCCTGCAGTCTTGGCAGATTCCCCAACAGCGTATTCAATCCATCTGTTCTTTAAAATGCAGGGTGGTGATCGAAGCTTTAGCAGAACCACAGGATTTTGTAACCAGAGAAGTGAATTCTAAGAACTATTGGATGTTTGGAAGAAGCCATGTAGTATTGCAAAAGAAATATTCATAAGAAACTCACACAGTGCTTGCTCTGTGTCAGGAATGTTCTAAACCCTTTACAAATGCTAATCTTCCCACTCTCTGACCCCATCTCGTAGGCGTTGTTGATGCCCATTGTACAGCTCAGACAACCGAGGCACAGAGGAGTTAAGAAACCTGCCCACGTTCTCCTGAGCAGAAAGCCCTGTGTCTCTGCTGTCACCACCATGACTTGGTTGGGATGAAATGTGGACCTGTCCTCCCACCGGATGCCTGGTTATGCATCTAACCCCAGCACCTTGCAAACTAGGGGGCAACCAGAGAGGAGCTGAGAGGCATTCCTGGTGGTGGAGTCACTGTGCCCTCGGAGCCTGTGGTCAGCAGCAAGTCTGGCCCTGCGGAGGGGGCTGGGATCTCAGCTTCTTTGGGGAGCCCAGGGAGCCTGAGTGAGCAGAGGAACAGCGTTATGGGAACTACAATGCCTGCTCTGGGGCTGCAGCTCTGCCTTAGATGTCCTCAGAGACCACAGAAGCATAGTCAGAGAAACCCCAAAGTCCTTGGGATTCATTTCAGCGGTCTCTTTCCTTTTACAAATATGATAGGATTCCTTAAGGCATGTGAAAGGCAGAGAAGAGGCTGGCAGCCCCGCTCCACTGCCTTGTGCTTCGGAGCCTTGCTTCACCTCTGCCCTGTGGACAGGGGAGGATGCAATGCCTCTTCTTCATTAAAGGGCCACCGAGAGAGTGTCTATAAAACACATGGCCCTTCTTGGAAGACAACCTGCCAGTCACTCCATCTGTGATAAGAAACAGTTTATATTGAACCAATGACTGTGTCTGGTCCTTAGTAATTGGCAGTAATGGCGAAGCAAAGGAATAGCTGGTGGTACTCAGTGCTCACCAGGGCCCACTCTTGGGCATCACTCCAGAAAGACAGAAGGAGCAGAGAACACATCAGTTTGCACGCGGTTTTGCTTCTACCTGTCTCGGAGCCTCATTTCCATTCTGCCTGAGTCTTGCTAAGCAACCCGCCCCGTCCACGTGGCTCACTCTCTGTGTTTGGCTCGGTGCTCTGCCAATGACTCAGTCCATTCTTCTTGAGTGAGCACGATACTTCAGGAATGGAAAGTGCAACTTCACAAGTCATCCCGGACCATCTCACTTTAACTTCTGGGAAGGTATTCCTCACCTTCGTCGAACTTCTCTCTAAGCTAACAGTGTCACTTTCCCTGGGCTTGAGGGTGTCATCTGGTTTCCCTGCAGAATCCAGTCATTCTTTGGTTCCTGTCTAGGCCAATAAGCCTACAGATGTGGAGATCTGTGAACGGTGCAGGCTTACTTATGTGTGTGTGTGTGTTTTAAATACATACTATAAAGGTATTTTCTCCTCTTTATGTTTTCTTTTTTCTGTTTAATATTTTTTCTTTATTGACTTATTTTTAGAGAGAGAGAAAGGGAGAGGGAGAGAGAGATAGAAATATGGATAAGAGAGAACATCGATTGGCCACCTCCTGCATGCCCACCACTGGGGTTTGGGCCCAGAACCTGGGCACGTGTCCTGACCGGGAATTGAACCAGCGACTGCTTGGTACATGGGTGGACCCTCAACCACCGAGCCACACCAGCTGGGCTCCTCTTTATGTTTTCTTTTTTTTTGGTACGTGCCCCTAGTGGGAACTGAACCCAGGACTTTCTGGTCCGCAGGCCGACGCTCCAACCGCTGAGCCAAACTGGCCAGGGCTTATGTTTTCTTAATAATATATTTTTGTTCACTAGCTTACTTTATTGTAAAAATACAGTATAGAATACACAATACGTGTTCATCAACTGTTGGCTTCTGGCCAACAGTAGGCTATTAGTAGTTAAGTTTGGGGGGAGTCAAAAGTTCTATGTGGATTTTCAATGTGCAGGTGGGGGTGGGCGCCCCTATCCCCTGCGTTGCTCAAGGAGGAGCTGTATGTCCCCTGGTTCAGCAATGTTACTCCTAGTGTCCAGGAAGCAGAGAACCTGTAGAGACCAAGTACTTCAACCTCCTCTTTTTATGCGAGGAAACCACATTGCAGAGAGGAAGGCCCGTTGGCCCATGGCCGCAGGGGAGCATTTAGACAGACTCAGACTTCAGTGTCTGTGAAGCTAACGAACTCCGCTTCAGTGAAGAATCACCAGTTTGGGGAAGTGATTTGGTCACTGTGTCAGATTAGAAACAGATCAAAGGTGAAAGTGTCTGAATCAGAAGAGAAAGTCTCTGGAAGGTGAGCCGCCAGCCCCCCGCTGTGCGATGGGGGGGCCGCCAGGGGGGAGAAGGAGCGGGAATTCCGCTCTGAGGCAGCTCTGGAAGTCCCCGCGCCCTGGAAGACAGCGGGCTGCCAAGCCTGCATTCCAGACGCCGGCCAGGACAGGGGCTCTCACGTGCTCAGGGCTGGGGCAGATTCAAGGGAGAAAAAGCCCAGGGGAGGTGCATGTGCTGTTCCTCAGAATCCTTGGTCCCCCTGGAGCCCCCTCCCCATGAAATCATAGATGAGAAAAAGAAAAAGTTCCTCTTGGTGAATAATCCTTTCTTTCTTCCTCCCAGTGATCTAACCACCCACCCCCACCACTACTGGCTTCCCCCTCATGGGGACTTTGTCATCGCCCAAGACTCCCACTCAGTGTCAGGGGTGAAGGAAAGAGGAAAAAGAGAGAGCTTTCTAGAAACATCTGAAGCCAGCACCTAGCCCCCTGCCCTGGTCCCTTCCGCTCCCCTTGCCTGTGCGGGCTGATGCCTGGCCCCTCAAGCCGGCTGGGGGGCCACCCCGGCCTCGCCTGCAGCTGCTCCCTCCCCTTCTCCTCCAGCTTAGCGCTGAGCTCCGGGGCCCAGCGCCTGTCCCGGCCTCTGCAATCCTTCTCTTTTCAAGGACTGGAAATCCCTTCTTCACTCTTGCTCAGAATGTCATATAAGAGCAAGACCTTAGAGACCATCTTCCCCTTTCACTGATGGGGAAACTGAGGCCAAGAGTCAATGAGGCCGGAGGTGACTTGCAGACATGTGGCAGAGCTTGTGGGGGTTGGCTCGTTTCTGGGTCCCCGTGCTGCACTGTGACCGTCGTGCTGCCCTAGGTCCTACTACCCTCGTCCAGTCAGCAGCCACTGTGTGCAGAGGTCAAGGCAGGGGACTGGGGCGTGGGGTGGGGGGACGAGCCAGGTGTGCAGCTTGCTTCCATGGGAAGTAGGGTGTCACCCCATGCTTCTGGCGTTTCCTTTGTTCTGGGCTGGATCAGCCCCAGGTCTGTTTGCTTGAAGGAGCCAAGGATATGGGAGAGGGCAGTGTGGGGTAGCCTACGGGAGGGGAGAGGAAGGTTCACCTGAAATGGCCCAGGTTGGCTGGGGTGGGCAATGATGTCTCCGCCAAGCGGGGGCCAGCCCTCACGCACCAGCACCTGAGCCCTAGGACGAGGAGGCTGCTGAGGGTGAGGGTTCGAATCTAAGCCCACTGTCAGGATGACGGCAGTGTGGACAGCCCACAGCTTCCCCGACAGGCTGTGACCACGGGTACTGAGCAGTGGGATGAGGGGTCGTGGGACTGGTGAGCACACCTGAGGTCCCCTGTGACAGCGCTGAACTGCGGGGGTACTAGGGGACAGAGAGGGTGAGGAGCACGTGGTAGACAGAGAAGCACTCTCTTGACAGCCTGTCACTGAATCCTGGTCTGAACACGTGTGCTGAGGGCACCTGGGGCAAACCCAGCGACAGAGCCACTGCAGAGCTGCGGAGGCCCCAGCCTCGGTGGTGCTCCGGAGATGGGCTCCTGGCTCGGCAGGTTTTGAGCCTGGTGTGATTGTTGGATGGGGAAGGGGTGCGTTTTGGAGCAGACTCACAGAGACTGCAAATTCAAAGTGCCTAGACATCCCCTTGGGAGCTTGTTAAAGTACAGCAGGTTCAGCAGGTCTTGGGTGGACCTGAGAGCCTGCATTTCTAACAAGGTGATGCTGATGATACTGGCCCCTTAGAACAACCTTCAACGGGCTCTGAGTGGGAAATGCTGGTCAGGTGTGGAAAACGGTGAGCAGTCCGTTCTGTCTAGACCAGGGTTCTTGCCCGCGGCTCTTGGGTAGGCTCCAAGGACCTGAGGTGATCTTGCATGTTTATGGGACCTGTGGATTTTTCTGGAGAGAGGGCTCACTGCTTCCATCAGATCAGCAAAGGCCTCCAAATAGTTCAGTACCCTCGAACCGATCAAACATAGAAGGTTCTGGTCTTCACCCCAAGCCTGGTGGATCGCAACCTGTAACTTTACTGTGTCAAGCTGTATTGTATCTAAGCTCTCTCCCCAGATGTCTGACTTGTGGGATGGTTTAACAGCAGACAGGGAAAAGAATAGAGAAGCAAGGTTTTTGGTTTCCCAAGTTCCCCACGTCTATTTGGGGATA